TGAGGCAAATCATAGGGCCAAACATTAAATATTTGCCCAATAGGGCAAAACATTAAAAATAAGCTATTCAGTAGACAGTATAATTAGTGAAAGTGAGTTTTAAAGTACTTACATAAGAATGGTCATATTAATATCAAAGATCTTCTAGCCCAGTTTCCTGTCTGCTGACAGTGGCCAATACCAGATGCCCCAGAGGGAGGGATCACCATAGGTAATCTTCACGGGATCCTCCTCCTGTCTTCCACTTTCAGAGACACAGAGGCTAGGGACACCATTCCTATCCATCCTGGCTCATAGCCAGTGATGGACTTAACCTCCCTAAATCTAGCTAGCTCTTTTTTGAATCCTGGTAAAAGTTCTAGTCTTCCCTACATCCTCTGGGAAGAAGTTCCACAGGTTGACACTGTGCTGAGTGAAGAGAAACTTCCTTTTGTTTGTGTTAAACCTGCTGCTTATTAATTTCATTTGGTGACGCCTAGTTCTTATATTGTGTGAATAAGTAACTTTTCCTTATTTACTTTTTCCACACCAGTCATGATTTTATAGACCTCTATCATATTCCCCCTTAGTCTCCTCTTTTCTAAGCTGCTTGAATTTCACACAGTTGCACCTCCTTAATGGAATGTAGAGAATTGCAAACATATCCATCTCATAATGTTTAAAAAAATGGTATTAATTGAACATGTCCCTAAAATCAAAGTTCAGACTCTTGTTTCTGATGCAGGTATTTCTCAACACCCTGTAGCTCAGTGGTCCCCAACGCGGTGCCCGCGGGCGCCATGGCCCGCCAACAACCCAGGCTGGCCCCGCCCCCTTAATGGAATGTAGAGAATTGCAAACATATCCATCTCATAATGTTTAAAAAAATGGTATTAATTGAACATGTCCCTAAAATCAAAGTTCAGACTCTTGTTTCTGATGCAGGTATTTCTCAACACCCTGTAGCTCAGTGGTCCCCAACGCGGTGCCCGCGGGCGCCATGGCCCGCCAACAACCCAGGCTGGCCCCGCCCCCCGGCGCACTAG